CAAGTAGTTCGAATGAAAATCTAAAATCAGCAGTTATTGACTCGCGGTCCGATTTTAACGAAAATTCTTAACTATTCTCGGGTTCGACATTAATAAAATTATAATAAAATTAAGAAATAATTTATTCAAATTAATTTATTGTAATTTTATTATAATTTAATTAACTTGTTTTATTATAATAAAATTAGATTAAACGAAAATAAATGGTGCAACGGTTGTACAATCATTTATAAAACTTGAACGATAAAATTCGAAATTTTCAATTTTAATTTCGTTTTGAATAAACCTGCACAGGAAACCGTGAAGATATTCGTCTTGGAAATGGCAGCCATCGCAGTCCGTTCCGTTTTAATCGTCGCAACGATAGAAAATTATCGATCCCCCGGATCGTAACTCGGTAGCAAACAAACGCTTCGTTAACGGTTATTTACACAGTTACTCGTTTGTTTTTCATTCTTCTGGAGGCACCAACGCCGGCGGCCGGCGTTCTCTCTCTCCTCCCTTATTTAATTAGGCTCCGATTAGCTGCGCAGTTTTGTGCAAATACTTCTTTCAGCAGCGCGCTGAAAACGCTCATTAAGGGACCGACTATCGAGTTACCCCGTGCCTAGTAACGAGCGGCAATTGTTTACGATCTTAGAAAATTCCAGCACGTCGACGACGGCCGCCAACACCGGCCTGAACGTTGGCAAACGCTCGCCGACGCGATAGTCGCCGATAATTACGCGCTTGTTGCTAGCCTGCTAGCTCGTTCTTCGTTCTTCCAGTTGGAACGCGGTAATACTGACAAATTGAACGTATTCCAACGTTCCAACGTCTGAACCTCGTTTAACCGGGAGATTCAAAGGAGGACGTGCCCCCGCTGCGAAGGCAAAGATTGACTTACGACTGGACAAGGTCTGCTGTCGTACGAACGACAGACACTAACTGTCTGTTCCTCGTCGTTCGATTGGAATTTGATATAAATAATGTTTATTTAATGTAATGATGATAGAGCAACAACTAATCAAACAAGAAAAGTACAATTCAACTCGAATAAACTCTTTTTAACAACGCAGTTGACACTTTTAACAACTCTTTCTGAATACTCTCTCACGACTTGGTTTCTCAACTATGCTCTCTTCGAAAAGAAAAGCGCGCCATTGCGCCTACGTTGTGCTTCTCGCGTCACATTTGTATTTTAATCGTATTTCTATGATTAAGAAACAGGCCATATGTTATATTTAAACATAACTAAAGTTATAACTACAGATTAATTATAGTTAGCCGACACTACATTTGTACCAATTGCGAAAGGAGCGCGATGACACACGCCGGTGAGAATAATCGGAGGGGTTGAAAGATACCCTAGTAAGGTATCCGACGCTTCGGAAGCCCCGGTCGTGCTAGATAAGTCTAGCAAAGAGCCACGATATTGACTGTACGAGCGTGTGTGGACGTTGATCTAACCTATTCTGGCTAAATAGCGGGAATAGTTTTGTTTCTGCGTCTTTCAGAGTACAGCCTCTTTGAATAACCATGTTATTCGATTCTTTTTCCCAAGAATCTGATCTAACCTAAGTCGAACCCAAACCTGGAACTACGTCTGATTTAACCTAACCTAAAGCTAAGCCTGTATTTCTTCGCGAGAACGAAATTTAATCCAATTTGAATCTTTTTCTTTCTCTTTTTAAACCTAAAGAAAAACGTAACTTCAAACCTAACCTAATTTAAGTCCAATCTAAACCTGAACCTGTATTTCTTCGCAACAATCTGACCTAACCTAATCTAATTCAATCTAACTTAAACCTAAACCTAAACTTGCAAGGACGAATTTTAAGAACCTTTCCTTTTTTTTTGAAACCTAACAGAACTTAGATTAGATTTAAATTAAAACTTAACCTAATTTAAATCTAATTTAAACCTAAATCTGTGTTTCTTCGCAACGACGAAATCTAACCTAACCTAAATTTAAATTTAACCTAACTTGAACCTAAACCTAAATCTGCACGGACGAAATTTAAGATAACTTGAATCTATTTTTTGTTTTTTTTTTTTTTTTGAACTTAACCTAACTTATGTTAGATTTAAATTGAAACTTAACCTAATTTAAATCTAATTTAAACCTAAATCTGTATTTCTTCGCAATGATGAAATCTAACCTAACATAATCTAATATAATCTAACTTAAACCTTAACCTAAACCTGCAAGCACGAAATTTAAGATAACTTGAACCTTTCCTTTTCCTTGAAACCTAACCTAACTTGGGTTAGATTTAAATTAAAAATTAACTTAATTTAAATCTAATTTAAACCTAAATCTGTGCTTCTTCGCAACGACGAAATCTGATCTAACCTAAATCTAAATCTAACTCAATCTAATTTCACCTAATTTCAACCTAAACCTGTGTTCCTTCGCAACGACGAACTCTAACCTGACCTAAATCTAAATCCAACCTAATCAAAAACCTGTGTTTCTTCGGTACGACGAAACAATGGAGATTCCACTTAACCGTGCCACGTGGTACGATGCCAGAGCCGTGAAAATAATAAAAATAGAGGAAGAAAAAACGCACAGCGTGTACGGTTCGCGAGCGAATTTTTGGGCATCGTTGCCGAGCCATTATGTCTCGCGGATGAAAAGCGGACAAAACGAGCGACGCCTCGCCACGAGAGGGATTAAAAATGTAAAACGAATTTTTTTCGAGCGAATTAGCAGCCGGTGGCTGTCGGTGAATTTGCCATCCGGATTAAACGACGTAGCAGCCCACCGGGTGCCGGTTTAATTCAAAATCTTGGCCACCGTCTGATTAAATTGCCCAGTCATTCACTTCGCTTGATTATTTACTCTTCTTAACTGAGATTAGTCGCCCCCCCCCCTTATTACAACCATCCGTCGTCCGCCGTATTCCCTTTTCTTCGGGCCTAGAAATTACGAATCGCCGTGGCGCCAGCTTTGTTGCAGACCGAGCGCAAAAGTGTGAGAGACGGCGAGAGGAAAGTTTCGCGCGAGAGGCGATACTCGTGCTTGCCACGCTGACGAGAAATATCGCGGTTGTTTCGCCAAAATTTCGCAATAAACGCGGAACAAAGCTAATTACCGAACGCTCACTTCACTCTTTTGATTCTCTTCACTCTCGTATCTCGAGGCGTGGATGAAAGTGCCCGATGTGCCGGAGGTGTTGATTTATCGATCCATTGGTTATTGACGAATAAAACGACAAATATGAATTGTTCGCGTAATTGGCGAGTTTTCCCAAGCTGAACGCTCATCGCTGTTCTCATCGATCGAACCGATCGAGTTCGGCAAATGAGGAATTTTCGTCGTCGAGCGCTTCACGATGAATCGTAATTACGTAAGTCTTGAGAAAGATGAAAAAACTCGCGAAAAATCCGATTTTTTTTTTTTTTTTTTTTTTTGAAAAAACCAAACGATCGTAGCTGCTTTCGTGAATAGAATATTCGGAACTTTCCGAGGCTCGTAATCAGAGATCGAACAAGTTAGGGAACTTTTAAATAGGCTCTATTTGAAACGTGGATCGCGGAACTTTCTCGGGTAATGCTCTCGCGTTACGAGTCCCGATGAGAACGGATAAATAAATGTTCTTAAATGTAAAACTTTCAGATTTAGAACTTGTAGAAAAATATAAAAAAGCGACGACTTTTCTACCGCAGTAACAGATAATTCGTTCGTCAATATCAAAATAATTCTTAATATCTGCAGCAGACATTGAATAATTCCATTCATCGAATAATACTCGAATATGAAATAACACTCGAATGGATTTTCAATTAGATTAGTTCTAAAATAACTTGTTTCCTTGGAACTTTTATTATTATGGATTCTAAAATATATTGAATGTATTACGTATGAAACAGATCAAGAAAAGAATATATTAAAAATATATCGAACTTTTATTACGTAGGTTCTAAAATATATTGAATGCCTTAAGTATAAAATACATTACAGAATATTGACAAGTATATATTGAACTTTTATTATACAGGTTCTAAAATATACTGAATACTTTATATAGTGAATGTACTAAATATAAAATATAAAGTAAAATAAAGATATTATGAAATATAAAAAATACAAAGTAAAGTAATAAAACATAAAGTAAAATAAATATAATATAAAATATATTACATATGTATTATATATTTAAAATATATTATATATATTATAATATAAAATATAAAGTAAAATAAATATAAAATATATTACATATATGTAATATATATAATATATAATATAATATATAATACAAAATATAAAATATATTACATATATGTAATATATATAATATATAATATAATATATAATACAAAATATAAAATATAAAATACATTGAAGAATATATTAAACTTTTGTTACACAGATTCTAAAATATATTGGATATAAAAATATTTTATACATTGAACGTATTAAATATAAAATATATCAAAGTTCAAATTATATTGAAAAATATACATATTGAGTAGTGTTTCACTAAGTTTAACACTTTTCTTTCTTTACAAAAATGCCACCACAAAAAAAAAAAAAAAAACGGATATTACACACAACTTTGAACAGAATATTTTCTTTTAAAAGCGGAAAGAACCTGTTAATTTCGATCGCTGCCTGCAACACCTACGTGAGTGTTAGCGAACGTAATCGTCACCGAGGCCGCACGAACGCGTTCTCCGATCTCCGGAGCTCTGCTGCGCGTTATCGGCGCGAAATTACACCTCGCCGAAGGAAACTTAATATCTGCTCGTATCACCGAGGAAAACTACGAGACGCCACGCTCGACTCACTTGACGTATCACGCGCCTAAATCTCTCCCTCTCGAATTTTTGCCACCGACCGATTTCCCGAAAAACGCGAGACGTCAAATATATATCTGGAACGTACGGTTTCTCGCGTGCGGCCAGCTTTTTGCTAATACCGGTACCTCGTTACTGGACTTCCCAAACTGTAATCCCGCCTCAGGAGCAAAGTGTGGGAATTTGAACGAAAGAACGTTTAACCTTTTTTTTTTTTTTTTTTTTTTTTTTTTTTTTTTTTTCGGGGGCGAAAAGGAACGCTCTCGAGACGAAGAAAAAGATGAATAACGATGAGCGATGTTACCTGGAGGTCCTGGGAAGAAAAATATTTTTGTTTCGTTGCCGCGCGTCCCGTGCGGATCGCCCCGTTGGCGATGAACTTTCTGAATAATTACCAGCGGTATGAGCTTGATTCATCACCGAAGTTCGCCTACCTAAGATGCTTTATCTGCGCGTCGCAGTCTCTGCGAAATTAATATGCTAATACCCGTGTGGCTCCCTCTGCTTCAACCCCGTACACCCCGGAGCGGTAGCTCTCTCAACCTTGTCGTCCCTGCTCTCCGTTTCTCGCTGCTAACGCCAACCATCCCCGGTGCTCCGCCTGCCGTGCTTTCAGTCCACCGCCTAACCCAACCCCTAAACCGGAACGGATCGGCAAACACGAGTATGAACTGTCTCATTTACGAGCTCGTTTCTTGATCACGCTAATTTCCAATACTCGGCCGTCTCCCTCTTCTGTCACGTTATCTTTGTTCTTTCGTCAGACGTTTGTAGATCATAGCAGGGCCTCCCTTGTGTCCGACTATCACACTATAACGTAACTGTGTAATATTCGATTAATGTTCTAACGTTTCAACTGTATTGTAACGTACTATTATATTATTAGTAATTAACTAATGTTACTGTATTAACTAATATTATTGTATTAATATTCGAGTATTGTACCGCAACTAAGCTTTAAACCGACAGATTGGCGAACACGAGTGTGAACTGTTTCATTTACGAGCTCGTTTCTTGATCACGCCAATTTCCAATACTCGGCCGCCTGCCCCTTCTGTCACGTTATCTTTGTTCTTTCGTCAGGCGTTTGTAGATCATAGCAGAGCCTCCCTTGTGTCCGACTATCACACTATAACGTAACTGTGTAATATTCGATTAATGTTCTAACGTTTC